AAAAGCAAAAGTACTTCTTTTCCTTGGAGTTTTAGGAAAGTTTTCATTAAGTCTCTCCTTCGACCAGAAAATTGATCCCGCGCTTGTAGTGTTTGGGACCTCAGCTTGTCTCGTGTTTTCTTCTGAATGGTTTACTGTTTCCAGTTTACAAAGCACTGTCATGTAGAGTGTCTCATTGACCTCTCACAACAAGCCACGATTTTATGCCATTGTGACAAGGAGGCTGCTTCATTTCACAGGCGAAGAAACAGAAAGCCAACTGCTTTGATTCGAAGGGAACAAAAAATCATCCCGATTTTGAGTCTCCTCTAGAAACAGCCCTCAGATACACAGAACAGAGCACGAAGGTCAGATTCCTACACAGGAAAAATTATTTGACTCCGAGCCAGAAGCCCGGAGGAAAGCAAGTATGTTTCTGTCTATCGTTGCTGAGTTTATGGCTCTTTAAACACATCTGCTACCAAAGGCTGCAGGAGTTTAAACACAGTATGTCCAGGAAGCACCAGGGGATCCCCGAGGTCAGCATTTGACCGCCAAGTATGTGGTCTTGAAAAGCCCATCTATATCAGAAAGATGGAAACCACTTTGGCTGGTTTTCAAGGTGCTTTCTTGGCTTTAATTCAGTTCTGTTAAAACTTTTTTCCCCAGCTTTATTGAGATATAATTGACACATACTATTGCGTAAGTTTAAGGTGTATAATACACACATATATTGATACACATATATATTGCGAAATGGTTACCGCAGTCAGGCTAGTTCACACATCCTTTACCTCACACGATTGCCATTCTGTTGCTGTTATGATGGGAACATTCAATCTTTACCCTTATAGCAACTTTTAAGGATACAGCACAAACCATTTTTAAAAGGATAATTTGCGGCTTAAACAGTTTAGACGTTCCCTCATGATACGGTCCTATAATAACCCACAGGAACACTCCGCCTGTCGGAAGCAGGTAAAACAGGAGGTTTGTGGGTGTGTACAGTGTTTTCATTTCTGTGGCCCGCACTACATGTAACTTTCAGTGCCTTCTAAAGCACCTCACGTATTTGTCTCATGGAATCCTCACCGTAAATCTATGAGCTGAGAATTTTTATTTCCATTTACAGATAAGAAAACTGAGGCCCAGAGAGGCTGGGACTTCTCCCACGGCTCAGAATGCGTGTGTGGCCGTGATTGGATTCAAAACCGGGTCTCTTTTTCAAAGCCAGGGCCTGTGCTCTTTCTTCTCCATTCATTGTCTTCCAAGGAATTTAGCTCTTATTAGAAGCTTTCTGTTATTCTCTTCTTGTTCCTTGATTCCGCCTCCTTTTTGCCACATGACGTAATGATTAATTTTTAAATGTAAAACTAACTTTTGTGGAGAAGGAGGTCTTTGGCAATCACTGTGCTAGGTAATTTTTAAACAGTAATTTATAAGGTTGCTGTTATTTTTATCCTTTATTTGTTTGCCTGGGTCATTTCAAGCAATTCCAAGTGAAATAGAAGTACATTGGCTACAAATAGAAGCTGATCAGTTCCATTCTCCTCCCTGCAAAGTAACCGTTTTTAATGGATTTGTGGGTTTTCTCTCAGCTGTTTTTCTTAGCATTTAAAAATACATGTGGAGGCATTAGAATGCAAACCCCATCAGATGAAAGAAAAAAATACATGCTGAGAACAGATACAAAGATATATATATATTATTATTTTTTTAAATAAATTTATTTATTTATTTTTGACTGCATTGGGTCTTCGTTGCTGCACACAGGCTTTCTCTAGTTGTGGTGAACAGGGGTTACTCTTCATTGCGGTGCGCGGGCTTCTCATTGCGGTGGCTTCTCTTGTTGCCAAGCACGGGCTCTAGGGGCACGGGCTTCAGTAGTTGTGGCATGCGGGCTCAGTAGTTGTGGCGCACAGGCTTAGTTGCTCCACGGCATGTGGGATCCTCCCGTACCAGGGCTCGAACCCGTGTCCCCTGCATTGGTAGGTGGATTTTTTTTTTTTTTTTTGGACCGCCAGGGAAGCCCCTGCAAAGATATGTTGTTTCCATTTTATGGATGAGGAAACTGAGGTTCAGTGGGGTTGAGTGATTGCCCAGAATCAAACAGCAGGTGAGGCACAGAGCTGGGATCAGAACTCAGGTCTTAAAATGCCACATTTCAACCTTCAAACCACCACCTCTCTAGCTGGCCTTTGGTCCCAAGACAAGAGTCAAAAAGCGCACAGCTCTTGAGTCAATCATCAATGTGACTTTGACATATTACTTGCTCGCAGATGAACTGCTTAGGATACCCTGGGGACTTTTAGTTTGTCTACTTGAGAAAAGAACGTAAAGATCCCTTCACCCGACTTCAGTGGGTGCTGAGAGAACGAAATCATGTCTGCTGTGTGTGCTGAACTCCTAGGAAAAGGCACTGAAGATGCCGGGGGTTCTGGGTGGGAACACGTTGTCCCCTGGCACAGACGTGCCTCTGCGGGCTCCTTTGGAGGGGGGCAGCCCTTGTTCTAGGGTTTCTTTCCAGCTGACTCATCCTGTGACCTTGAGAAAGTTCCCAGTCTCTCTGCACCTTTGTTTCACACTCGCTCTAAAACAGGGCTAATAATACCTTCTACCTTGTTCGTAAAAGAGAGGACATTCACAAACCAGCCCTCACAGTACATTTCTACAGAACTGGGTCCCGAGTTCTAGCACCTGCCCAAGTCAGATGAGATTTTTGGCTAAAGCACCCTCCAGCTCCCTTTAGGCAAAGAGACTGGAAAAAGCGACTGTGGGAACAAAAAGGAACATGTTTTAGCCAAAATGTGTTTCTCTAAGGAAACTGAGTGTTTCTTAGATCCTCACCTTTGTGAAAATTTTCACCTCGTGCCTTTTTAAAAGTGTTTTGCTTCTCCTGAAATGTCCTCCCCCATCTCTTCTTGTGAAATTGTTCCTGTCACTCAAGGCCCTGCCAAAATGCCACATTTCCGTGAAGCTTGCCTTTACTCTTTCAGCTAAATACCTTTTCTCTCTCCTCTGGACTCTCTGAACACTGTCTATCCTCCCTTCATCTCATATTCTGCCAAGAATTATAGTGATTTTTAAAATGCAAATCTCATTCTCTTAGTAGATGATAAGTATATTGAAGGTAAGACTAATACCTTATTGTTATAATTCTGTAAGCTAGTGACACAGTTTCCTACATATAGTAGTTGCCTAATAATCAATTGCTGAACGAATAAATGAATGGATAGAATATTTGTAGAGGAAAAATATTAAATAGTAGTGAAGGGCTGGTGAAGACTGATACCACCAAGGGTACCGAAGAATTTTTGCTCATCGATCAGTGTCCGCCTGTTAAATTCCTGCCCATTGATGGATCCACTGATGCATCAATCCCTTGAACAAATGCTATCTGAGCATCTCCTTGTGTAGGATGCTGTGCAAGGTCCTTCAGGGAAGAACACTGAAGATCTTGAGTAAGTGAAGAGAGCCCGTGCTGCTCTTATCCCGGTCATCCTGCCTCACGTTTTTGTGCAGAGTTGAGAATTTGTGTTTGTGCCAAGACACCTGGGTTCTGGTCTTGGTTCTGATCCTTGCTAGCTTGTCACTTTTTTTTTTTTTTTTTTTGCGGTACGCAGGCCTCTCACTGCTGCGGCCTCTCCCGTTGCGGAGCACAGGCTCCGGACGCGCAGGCTCAGCGGCTATGGCTCACGGGCCCAGCCGCTCCGCGGCATGTGGGATCTTCGCGGACCGGGGCACGAACCCGCGTCCCCTGCATCAGCAGGCGGACTCTCAACCACTGCGCCACCAGGGAAGCCCTAGCTTGTCACTTTGAGCAAATGGCCTCATAAATCTCAGTTTCATATTGTGTTTAATGTTAACCTGATAAAGAGGAGATAATACCGTAGTGCTTGTTTATCTGACTCCCAGAAGTACGGAGGCTAGGGGCAATGATAAAGTGAAAACATTTTACCTTCTCTGAGAGCATATGAAAACCACATATAGGTATGTGTATATACACGTACATACATACGCACACATATATTTTTTACTTAGGGGATGCAATGCATCATATATCTCCAACAAATTATAAACCGTGCCTTAGGTACCTTAGAGAAGCTCAATGGTTTCAATTTATGATACACACTTAGGATACAATACATCACAATTATTTATTCTAGATTTTTGCAGCAAAAGCTAAAAAACATCGAAAAAACAAAATTCTAAGTTTCATTACAAAACACCCACTATTCACTTGGTTCTATGACGTGACATTTCTTGTCAGTGCACATACACAGTACTGCATAGTGGTAATCAATGTGTTCATTCTAGCTGGGGTTCTGGTTTTATTTTTAGGATTGTTTCGAACAGACCTTTCCCTATTTACAATTTTAATATCAGTATTATTCATTTAATTATCTATCTGTCTATCTAATCTCGGAATTTATTTAACTATTTCCTAATCGTTGGTCATTTGAGTAATTTTCAGTTCTTCATTATTACACATGGTCTATTTTTAATCGCATACAGACGCCTACCCGTCACTTAACACATTCTTGGCTGGGCTCCCTCTACTGTCAGTTGATATATACCCAAGAAATGCCAACTCATTTTATTATTAGCCTGAGCAAAACAGAATTAGGAAGGAACTACAAATGTTTTATTTTGAAAATCAGACTGTGCATTTACAAGATGGTTTGCGAATGATTTCCTTTGGGAGGAGGGAGCTCTGGATCCTGGCACCACAGCTTTAATCTCCCAGGGAAGAAGAGTGATGACCAGGAACTTTATACGTTTATCAAACATTTATTGACCTCCAAGACACCAATTCCAGGCTGGGGAAGAAAGGTGTAATCCTTACCCTCAGTGAGCTTACTGGTTAGTAAATGATCTAGACCAGGGGGACTTCCCTGACGGTCCCATGATTAGGATTCGGTGCTGCCACTGCAGGGGGCACCGGCTCGATCCCTTGTGGGGCAACCAAGATCCCACATGTCACGTGGCCAGAAAAACAGAAAACCAAAAAAGAGGATCGCGTGCTCGCTTCAGCAGTACATATACTAAAATTGGAACGACACAGAGAAGATTAGCATGGCCCCTGTAGAAAGATGACATGCAAATTCGTGAAGCATTCCATATTTTTAAGATGTGGCACATATATACAATGGAATATTACTCAGCCATAAAAAGAAATGAAATTGAGTTATTTGTAGTGAGGTGGATGGACCTAGAGTCTGTCATACAGAGTGAAGTAAATCAGAAAGAGAAAAACAAATACCATATGCTAACACATATATATGGAATCTAAAAAAACAAAGGATCGAGACCAGCAGTGGCAATGCTCATGGCAAAGGCAACGATAACGCAGTGTGACAAGTGTTGCCAGAGCAGTCAATTCAAGTCACACACACAAGGAAGCGACAATAGTCTTGTTGGGGGTCCTAGAAGGAAGGGTCACAGAAACTGAGGCCCGAGGACCAGTGCGCATTGGCCTGGAGAGTAGTAGTCCAAGCATGGGAAAGTGTTTACAGAAGCCCAAAGGAGAGAGAGGATATATATTTTTTAGGGACGGCTAAGTCGAGCATACAGTTTGAACTGTATACAGTACACAGTTTGAGTTGGGGTGTCAATGGAGGTGAAGGCGAAAAGGTAGGCTGCAGCCAGGTTAGGAAGGGCTTTATAAACCGCGTTAAACAACTTGGCTTTACAGTATCTGGGGGTGGTGCAGCTACTTTAGAAAACAGGGAAACGGCTTGGCAGTTTCTTAAGAAGTTAAACATAAACTTACCATATGACCCAGCAGTTCCACTCATGTCTAGCCAAGAGAAACAAAAGCATACAGCCATACAAAGACCTGCATGTGAATGTTCATAGCAGCATTATTCATAATAGCCCAAAGTGAAACTACCCAAATGCCTATCAGCTGATGAACAGGTAAACAAAACGTGGTCTATCCATAGGATGGAATATTATTCAGCCGTAAAAGAGGAAAGAAGTTCTGATACCTGCTACAACATGGATGAACCTTGAAAACATTATGATAAGTGAAAGAAGGCAGTCATAAAAGACCACATCTTGTATGATTTCATTTATGTAAAATGTCAGAATAAGAGACAAATTCAATGAGGCAGAAAGTGGATTATTAATTGCCAGGGGTTGAGGAAAAATGGGAACTGACCGCTAATGGGTATGGAGGTCCTTTTTGCGTGATGAAAATGTTCTAAAGTGAATCCTGGTGGTGGTTGTACAACTCTGCTAGTGTAGTACAACCATGGAACTGTGTGCTTTACATGGGTATGATATGGGAATTATATCTCAATGAAGCTGTTAAAAAATATCTGGGAGAGGGGCAATAGGGAGGTCATTTGGTTTTAAGAAGAAAAATGTCACGATTAGATTTACTTTTTTGGGGGGGGGCACACCGTGCAGCTTTGAGGATCTTAGGTCCCTGATCAGGGGTGGAACCCGGGCCCCGGCAGTGAAAGCACTGAGTCCTAACCACTGGACCGCCAGGGAACTCCGTAGATTTACTCTAGAACTTTTGCTCTGAATAGATGCAGTGGATGGTTAGGACAGGGCAAGGTGAAAAGTGTGAGTCTGGTTAGTGGGTGGTTGCAGTAGTGGGAGAGACATAGGGTAGACAGAATGGAATGGACAGGTCTGAGACTTTAAGGAACAAAACTGACATGACTTGGGGAGTGTCAGAAGTGGGGGATGGGAAGTTAGGGATCTCACCCCAGTTACTGCCTCGGGCCCTTGGGAGGCTGGAAAGGCTATTCATGCAGATAGGAAACCAGGAGGTAGTTTGGGGGGAAGTGATGAGTTCAGTTCTGGACACGATGAGTTGGGGCATCCAAATGGCACTGGTTATGATCTGGAGCCCAGAGGAGAGAGCTAGTCCAGAGGTGGTGCACAAAGCATCTTCTTATTCTCTTACCACCTTATGAGGGAGCTTAAGCCCCTGGACAAGAAAAGAGCTATGGATACTGTAGCAGGTATTATATGCAAGGTTGGCTCTCAGTCCCTTTCCATCAAACCCTAACATGAAACATAGCAATGCTTTTGACTCAGGGCACAAGTTCAGCTTCTCCTGTTGGTTTATTGTAGCCAGTATTCGAATAGCTTCAAGGAACATTTTTTTTTTTAATTTATTTTTATTTTTTTAAACTTTTTATTTTATATTGGAGTATAGTTGATTAACAATGTTGTGTTAGTTTCAGGTGTACAGCAAAGTGATCCAGTTATACTTATACATGTATCTATTCTTTTTCAAATTCTTTTCCCATTAGGTTGTTACATAATATTGAACAGAGTTCCCTGTGCTATACAGTAGAGGACCATATTTTTTTAAAGCTCAAATTAGGTTCTGCCATGCCTTGAATAAATGTGCAATTAAAAGAAACATTTGAATCCAAGACTCGCTTAGAATGTAGGCTGTTTAGCAATGACGTGTATCTCTCTTGGTAGAACATCCCAGGAAGTAGTCCGGTCTGGGGAACCGGGTGGTCCTCACTGCTTCCTTGTAGTGTATTCTTAGCAAGTTCCCTGATTCTCAGATTTCTCGTCTGAAAAATGAGAATAACTATATTTCCCATGCAGTAGGATTATAAATAAAAACTTTGTAAAGTGTCTGGCTTGGCACAGGGTAAGATCTCAATAAATAGAAGTTTACTATTATTACTATGATTTTCTTAAGTGTTGAAAAAGGTGTTTGATACAGTGCTGTAAAGGAAATGTTCTGAGTCTCTGTCTTTTGTACTCTCTTCTAGTTCCTAGATCTGTTCTAGCTACCAAAATCAATCTTGCCTCTTGGTGACTGTTATTTTAAACAGAGTATATTTTAAGTTTGTTCCCTTCATACATGGCATGATTTTATAAGCTGACAGCTCTTTGATCTAATTTGCTGGCAGATTATGCAAGAAATATATATTTTATTGAAATGCAAAAGCTAGTCAGTTTTTGCACCCCCCTTCTCCCCCCGCCCTTCCCCTGGGCATTTGGGGAGTGAGGAGTGATAGTGGGCATGGAGGTAGGTAAGGGAGAGAAACAGGTTTTTTTTTTAAATTAATTAATTAATTTCTAGCTGCGTTGGGTCTTTGTTGCGCGCGGGCTTTCTCTAGTTGTAGCGAGCGGGGGCTACTCTTTGTCGCGGTGCACGGGCTTTTCGTTGCCGTGGCTTCTCTTGTTGCAGAGCACGGGCTCTAGGTGTGCGGGCTTCAGTAGTTGCGGTGCATGGACTCAGTAGTTGTGGCTCGAGGGCTCTAGGTCGCATGCTCAGTGGTTGTGGCTCGTGGGCTCTAGAGCGCAGGCTCAGTAGTTGTGGCGCACCGGGCTTAGTTGCTCTGTGGCATGTGGGATCTTCCCGGACCAGGGATAGAACCCATGTGCCCTGAATTGGCAGGCAGATTCTTAACCCCTGCGCCACCAAGGAAGTCCCGAAAAACAGTTTTTGTCTCTGATTCAGACCCAGGTGCGGGGGACCTTTAGATGTTTGTGTACTGGTTGATTTTGGCCCCGATGCTCTCCTCAACCTGCTTCTACACTGTCAGCACCTTCGTTTCTTTAGAGTGAATCTTGACCTCCTGTATCCTTTTCTTATCTGGGATGTCTACCACTATTTGGGATTTCCTAATGGCCCAAGAGGACAAACTGAGACCCTTGTGGACAACCGTAAGGGCAGAGGGGAGCAGCTAGGGCTGCTCCAGCTGGGGCAGGGAGGCAGGCAGGTGGGGGAGGGCTCGGGGAGACCTGGCTGGCTTGGCAGATTCCCATTTGTCCTTTCTCCAAAAGATGCTCCTGGGAGCCAACCAGAAAGCTTTCTGTGTTCATTTTGTAGCCTGAGAGCAAACACGCCACCTTGGCAAGGGAGCACCAGACCTATAATAATAATACAGTTCTCTGACATTGAAGTGCAAAAACATTTTCCATGACAGCTTAAAATTAATCACCACCACTTGCTGCTATAGATCCCTCTCCTTTAGGCAGTGCCAGCTTTGAGACAACTGTTAAGGCAGCCACATGGCTTCCAGGGAAAGAGCAAGAAGTCTGCAGAGACAATCAGCAAAGCTCCTTTTCTCCATTTTCCCTTTTGTCCTGGGGAGGATGTGCTTTCTTGCTAACAGGGTGGAAGATGGGGCTGGTAATTGATCATGGAGAACAAGCCACAACTGACTCTTACGGGTGGGATTATAAATGCATCTGGAGCTCTTAGTGACATTGATAAACCACTGGAGATGCCTGCTGTGCAGCTGAATGTTCCAGAAATTGTTCCCATGGTCTTTGAACTCACATCAAGGGAAAAGAAAGGAGCTTCCACGTATCACTTTCTTTATCCGGCTGATGGAAATTAATAATCAGACAGATTTTACTCAGACAACCTCACAGAATCATTCAACAAATATTTATTTGTTTACTTTATTCTTTTAAAATTTCGGGAATTTCCTGAGAGTCCAATGGTTAGGACTCAGCGTTTTCACTGCTGGGGCCCGGGTTCAATCCCTGGTCAGGAACCAAGATCTCTCAAGCTGTGCGGTGTGGCCCCAAAAAAAAAAAATCTAAACTTAGTTCCTGCTCATGGTAAAAGTTGAAATTGTATTGGAGGGTAAACGGTGAGCATGGAAATTCTTCCTCTTTCTCCTGATTCTTTGGTCTCACTCTGCAGAGGTTACCACTATAAACAGTTTCCTGTATATCCTTCAAGAAGTAGTTCTTGCATATACAGGCCTACGTGTGTATGTATATGTGTATGTGTATATCGCTGTTTTCATTTAACAATGTATATTAGACACCTTTTCACACCAGTACCTAGAGGTCTACTTCACAGTTTTTAATGTTACATAGTGCTCCTTGGTGTGCATGTATTTATTTATTTAACTGGACCTCTAATTTTGGATGTTTGAGGTATCTTTTGTTTGTTTTTTTGGTTTGCTACTATGAACAATACCACAGACCACATTCTCTTGGACTTCTTTGTTTGTACTTGTGCAAGCCTATTTGTAAGACAAATTCCTAGAAGTGAAATATTCAGATCAAAGATATGTGTAATTTAATTTGTAAAAGATTGTGAAATTGTTCTTCAGATAGACAGTAAACATATACTGAAAGCTTTCTCCATGCCAAGCACTGTGCTGGGTGCTAGGGACA